AACATTTACCGTATTTACTCGAATAAGCGCCGCCCTCGAATAAGCGCCGCATCTGGGACAAAAAAAGTTAATAAGCGCCGCCCTCGAATAAGCGCCACACCCCCGATGCGGCGCTTATTCGAGGAATTTAGTATAACCAGGAAAAACACTATAAAACAATTTTAACACAACATCGGCAATTGATATTCTTTAAATGTGATGTTCTGTAGTTCAAAGTGACTGTATTTCTCTGCTCGGGGTTTTTTCACTGCTTGAATTTCTCTCGTAATTCTAGATTTACTATCAGTTTAGCATCAGTCCATAGGAAAATTGACAGATAGTGTACCGTTGAGTAAAAATATAGAAAAAGTAAATTTGTCTGGTATAATTTTTAAATAAGCGCCGCCCTCGAATAAGCGCCACACTTGTGGCGCGAAAAATTAAATAAGCGCCGCGGCGCTTATTCGAGTAAATACGGTACGCTTGAATAGGGGGAGGGATGGAAACTTGGTTCAGTCCTAATACTCTCACGTCCAAAATGGCGGGCCCTAATGGCATCATCTCAATGATCTCATGTCTCGTGTGGAATATTTCATTTAAACAGCAACGATAATTTTTTTGTCATCCAGCTCTTCTGACTGTGGATCCCCTCTTTGTTGGATGGTTCCATTTATTCAGTTCTCATTTAGCATTTAGTCATTTAGTCCATTTTTCACTGCATTGAGTTTTGCAGTGGGGAAGGACTAGAAAGGAACATAAGAACCATTAATGCTAGTTCACCCTCCCACCCATCCTACCCTAGGGGAGGACATCCATCACACAGTAATCTCGTGTGTGGAAAATTAACGTCTCCTACCCCAACCCTGCAGGAGACGGGACCTTCATTTATTCGTCCCTATCCGAGAAGACTAGAATATCTAACCATTTCTTGATGTTATAGAAAGGTAGCAAATTCTTCTCGATTATTTTAAGACCCTGAGTGTTCTAAGTTACATTAGATCCCTGGTGGATCACAAGTCACCTGGACGGTGCTTACTGCGGCACGTAAGCTTATGTATGCATGGTCATCCTCGCGTAGTGATGAGTATTTGCGAGAGCTATTCAGTCTATTCAAAGGTCAGACGTGAATCATCTTTTAACGATCGTTTTATTCTTAGCTTAATGGTTAATGCCGGGTTAAGGTCACTTTATTTTCAAGTAAAAAACGGCCTGACAAAATATAGAGACTTCGCATGCTTGGAGTATTATACGAATGGAAATATGGCCGAACAAACAAAGATCACAGAAAATTCAACCATCTTTAAAAAAATATTGTCATATTTAGGTCAGGACATCATCATTCGTGCTCTCTGATGGGTACAAGGTTTTCAATTATTACTTTACTTTATTTCGCTAAACCGCTAGGTGTTTGTAGTGTTAATCAGAGGCCTTCTTAGTGCATTTGTAAGCTATGAGTCGAGGTGTTTCCAGATAATGACACTGATTTGGCTTTGATATTTCATTTTCACTCACTTAATACAAAATTAGGACCTTATGTCAAGAATTTGGTCCGTCAATAGCACGAGTTATGCTCAAAACTCCATTTTGCTTGGCCTTAGAGGGGCATGGAGAGTTTGTGCCAGAAACCTAACAAACCCTAATAAGCCAAATTTTTCTCAACTGATTTTGATAAATGGGACACTAAAGTACATAATGATTTGGTATGAAAGTTATGCAAGAAGGCAGGTTAGTGTAATGGTTTTTTGAAAAATGGCAATTTTGGGTAATGATTTTGACCTCAAATTAGACCTATTGAACTTTAGCTCCAGGCTCCTCTCTGACTAACCACTTCAGAACAAAGTTATATTTATGAAGTAAAAGGTCCACTATAGTAGAGTTCATGGTCAAATTCATTTGGCAGCACAATTTACCAATGGAGTTTTATAGCACTTTCAAAATGCCAACTAAATGAATTTTTCAAAATGCCAACTAGGATGAATTTTTGGTGCTCCACAGGCCACAAATAGGACCCCCCCCTGAAACTCCGGAAAAAACAGTCAGAGAAGTGAGCCAAAGTGGCTGTTGAAATATCCTATCACACTCAACTTTTGTGCCAAGTTTCAGCCGAATCGGTTGACCACCACTTCTGGCCCCTGGTACACTTTCCCTGACAGGGGACACTTAACGGGAAAAAATTCCCATGAGGGCCTGTTATTTACTGGGTATAAACCTAATTCAAAATTCAAGCAGAGGAGTAATTGAAAGTGCCTGGTTTAATTTGTTGTATTTTGTTACCATTTGCCGTTTTTAAAGAATCAAAACCCAGATCAATTACATTTCATACGTGGCCAAAAATTGTTAAAATTGATTTGTGTTGTGATGTCTACTTCAGAGATTTTGAAGTACGAGTTTAAAATTCGACAAATATCTTTGAAATCATAAAAATAAATTTCTCTTAGTCTAAATCTATACTTTATCTAATGTTGTCTATTGCTTTCTGGTGTTTTAATTCGTAAGATTGCACAGATAAAATGGGATTGGCAGATGGAAAAATTCCAAACTCTGCTTTATCATCTGCTAGTGAGGTATTTACAAAAGCACTCCGGCTTTACTTGATAGCTTGATTGATATTTTCGTTATATAATGTTACTTCTCCCGTTAATGCTTGCCTTTGACTGGTTCAGAGAGGAGAAAAAAAAGTTAGCCGACTACAAAAAAAATAGTTTATATCTCTCTTATACGTTTGCATCAAGAAAAAAGGAGCTGCAAGACTGTCACAACTAATCTCAAATCAGTTTCAATGACTTTTTTAAGTCTGAGAAATTTCGAGCTCAAAAATTATTCCTTCAAAACTATAGAACTTTTCTTTATAACAGAGGAGCTCGTAGAGCGTAGCCCCATATCTATACAAAATGGTAGTAGTAACCCAACAAGCCGAAAAAATTTGGACTTATGACCGTAAGGGCGTCTGTACAAGGTGCTACTTTTAGCATGCGCGGTCAACTGTACCGCGGCAACACCAACGCCACGGCTTTGTCCAGTAGTTCGATCAGTGGTCAGTGCACTGGGCTCCAAGTCGGACGACTCGGGTTCTAGTCCTGGCCGGGGCAAGGCGTTGTGCCCTTGAAACGTGCGGGAAAAAAAATGCGAGCACAGCTTTTAGGCTTGGCTAAATCTATATATTAGAGGAAAGTAATTGAAAACCCGAGGAGGTCACTAAGGTCAGATTCTACAAAGAACTACAATATCAAGATAAAGCTCAATGTCTCGCAGGGTCAAATAGCGCGAAATGACACATGTCACGCTTCAACACAACTAATTCATTAATTGACATTTTTTCATATTTGCAGTGGAGCGCTACTTATGCAGCGAGCAAGGGAAGGCTCAACCATCAGAGCACATATATTGCTAAGCGAAACGATGAGGGTCAGTGGTTCCAAGTGGATTTTGGAAAGATTGTCAAAATAACGAGCATCATAACTCAAGGACGCCACAACGCCGCACAGTGGGTGACCAAGTTTATGGTGTCTTACAGCTTTGATGGAGGATATTTCAGTTTTCAACTTCACCACCCTTACAGTGTTCCGCGGGTAAATATATTAAATAGTTTGCAGAGAAAAATACATGATACGCACTCCGAACAATTGGAGGTAATATGAACAATAATACCCCAAGCTGGGCGCCTACATGCATTCGCCAGGGAACAATGAGCGTTTCATGAAGTAACAAAACCAAAACCAGAGAAAATACTAAGGCAAACTGGAGGGAAAGTAAGTATAACGGGAGAAGTGTAATTTGCACTCAAGGCGGGCTCTTTCAAGCGGCCTGGAGAGCGGTAAAACAAGAGCGGTTAAGTCACTGCTTGAAATGCATTTTGTATCTGACTAGTTCACCGGATAGACGCGAGCTTATGGACTAATTACAAAGCGTAGACCAAAATCCTACATGTAGGTTTGATGCAGAAAATATTAAAGCCAAAACTTTTCCCAGAGCGCCAACCTATTTAAGTAAAAAGAAAAGTACATTCGTAAATAAATGTGCGTATGTTTTGTTGGCTGGAATGATCTTTTTATGGAAAAAAAAAAAAAAAACCAAGTGTAAAAGTTACACAGTATGTCTGACAGCAACCCAACAATATCTGAGAAGAAAGCACCAGATGTTTTATGAATTGAATATACTTAGTGATTGTTTTTTCTAGGAATACTATGCCAATAGAGACCGTCTGACTATCGTGGAAACCGAGCTGGACGAACCAATCATCGCCCGTATTTTTCGTGTTCACCCAGTGGAATGGTATGGACACATCTCAATGAGGCTCGAGTTTGTTGGTTGCGACTCTGGTAACTATATATACACCCCTCTTCAAACCAATGTGGTTTCGTGTCTATTGTGTTATTATAGTGCGCATAGCACGTTCGTGTGCTTTGGAGAAATTTCTAACAATTAGAAATATCGTGTATTCTAAAATATTAATGTTTCGCGTTAATTATCCTTTTCTGTATGATATAGGGGAGTTGAGCGCGAAGTTCTTGCAGAAGAGAAGGCTTTTGAACGTACGTGTTTAGCGAAGTTCGCTGAAGCTTCTCAGAGAATTTCTAAGTTCAATTTAATTCAATTGGTGATATTGTATACCTGGAGGTCTCAGGAATAAAAGCCTGAGGAAGTCAAGTGCTCATACATTTCTTAGTATTTTATTCACACAGGGATGTGAGAATTTAACTACGTATGCCTTGTTCTCTTGGACTTCTTTGCTTTTCAAGGCTTTCAGCCTCCAGTTTTTCCTAACTGCATGGATGGACTTGGAATGGAAGATCCAAATGAAATCCCGGATTCAGCCATAACTGCGTCTTCTTATTATAATTCCTACTACAAACCGAGCCAAGGTCGTCTTTACCAACAGTATGAGGGAGGTTCTGGAAGCTGGCTGGCCAAAACGAGTGACCAGAACCAATGGCTTCAAGTGAATTTAGGAGGATGGAGGCAAGTGATGGCATTCTGCACCCAAGGAAGGCTGAATGCGGCCCACTGGCTGACTAGTTACTCACTGGCATTCAGTTATGATGGAGTCTTTTACAGAACTGTCCATGAGGTAATAACCTGTTTTACTGACGAATAGACTTTTCGTAATCGTGGTGGCCAAAATAAAATTATATATCCTCAAGAAGAAATGTTCTTATAGTTAGGAAGCAAGAGGTTCATGTTATATATTTGATCGAGATTTCAAAGTCAATGCAGCCTTCATAATCTCAGAAATAAAAGTCTGTCGTTGTCCATGGGATCTTGAGGCACAAAAAAAATCAAGCTAAAAAACAAAACAGCTAATGAAAAGCTTATTCACCTAATATTTAGCGGTAAGCACCATCTAAGTAAACCGACTAGGATATCTGTACAACTTCTCGCTGACTAGAGATCGTAGATCTTGTGCGAATCTAATCTTTAGGCGTTTGTTGTATCTTATCAGGTGTTCAAGGGAAACTCAGACCAATTTATGCCTGTTTGCCATTCTCTGAGGCGAGGACAAGTGATTGCACGATATGTGCGAATTATTCCGCGGACTTGGCATGGATATATTGCCTGCAGAGCTGGTTTTTATGGCTGTAAATCAGGTAAGTTTTTTTCCCAACAGATGAGATCCTTCCATCCAGTCAAATGATTTGTTTTTAAAAAAGTTACCCTAAATTCATTAAGAAAATCGCGCTATGAAGGAAATTCCGTTGATCCTGTCACTGTACCCACGAGCATCTCGTTAACCAAACAATCATATCGCATGCTACATTGGAATAAGATTCTTAATGAAGAAAAAGGAAAATGTTTTTAATTTTGGGCAGAAATTCAAAATAATCCTAGTTACTAAAGATGATGGTGTTTTTTTTTTATTATAATAATTTCCCCTGTTTTTTTGCAAACAGGATTTGATATCCCCAAAACAGTTTGGTTTCTGTGCGGTATCTACTAAAACAATTATTCACGTGAGGAAAGTGGTGAACATTTAGCTCACCATTTCGCGGCTCGGCAAGTATCCACTACAACTCTCCCCCAGCTCCGTTAATAATAGTTAAAAAAGTGGCGAGACATGCTGCTTTTGCTCTGCAAAAGAAATGCTATCTGAATGAAGATTGACGAATACCACTCTTCTGAAAGAGCGATAGTCCAAATAAAAAGTGTGTAATTGCCTCTTAATCAGAGCCACCCTTTCCTTCTTTCGTCTCGATTGGCATTTCGCAGTTTCCTGGCTTTGACTCTAATTGGTAATTTATCCCTTAAATTATCAGGATTCGAGCCCCCAAAACTGGAATGCCAAGCAGAACTTGGAATGAGTAGCGGGAAAATACCCAACAGCGCTATCACTGCAACTACCAGCTATAATCAGTACTATGGCCCAGAGCGCGCCAGACTGAATACGGTGAAGTCAGGGAGTTTTGCTGGAGCGTGGTTACCTAATTCACAGGACCTTGGTCAATGGATCCAAGTTGATCTGGGAAAAATTT